CTACAGGCTTCTTTGGCGTTTTCATATTCTTCTTCATTTTTTATGCATCAGATCAGCTTTACCCTGCGACTGCACCGCATCGTTCTCAAACGGCGGTCTATGTGGTCAAAGAACCGATACCATCATCGCCACAATTGAGGGACTCGTCGGAATATGTTTTGGGCTCTTCGTGGGACTTCAACGCCGCGCCAAGCATCAGAGAGCACTACTGGACCATCAGCGATGCGATCTTCAACCCTGATGGGATCTTTCGGCCGATGATGCTCATCAACAACCAGTTTCCCGGGCCTCTCATTGAGTGCAACGAGGGAGACACTATTGTTGTCCACGTCCGCAACGAAGCCGTCAATGCCACAGCCATTCATTTTCACGGCATGTATCAAAACGGCACGAACTCCATGGACGGCACCGTCGGCGTGACGCAGTGCCCTATTGCACCCAACGCGACGTTCACGTACAGGTTCACGGTCGAGAACCAGTCAGGAACGTATTGGCACCACGCACATCACAGCAACCAAGCTTCTGATGGACTCGTCGGGCCGCTCGTCGTCCACCCGAGAAAAAACCAGGGAACCAGAGACCAATACTCGACTGATCGGGTTGTCATGATCTCGGACCACTATCACAACACATCGGCCGAGTTGTTGATGGACTATCTTCAATCAGACCAAGAGAATGAAGAGCCTGTGCCGTCGAGTGGCCTCATCAACGGGCGCAACTATCGCGATTGTGCTAACTTTGACGGATGGAGTTGCCAGAACGAGAAATCTCGTATATCCTCGTTGGAAACCTTTAGCCTGGCTCCAAATGAGCGACATCGCCTGAGGTTCATAAACACTGGTGCCTTTGCCGAATTTCAGATCGAAATCGACGAGCATCCGCTCTACATCACCGAGGTCGATGGGACTGATGTCCGCCCTGAACCCTTCCACCGCCTCAATATCCTTCCGGCACAGCGCTACAGTGTGGTCATTGAGACCAATCTCACCACTGCCAACTCATTCTGGTTGCGAGCTAGGATGACCACGCACTGCTTCGCACGAGAAAATCCCTGGCTCGATTCAGGAGTGAAGGGGATCATCCGGTATGCCACACCAGGACTCTCTAGCAAAGAGAAGACGTATGAATCGGCATCGGAGCTCAGCGAACCACAAAGCAAGAGCTGGGACGAAGCTATAGATGTCGACTGTCGAGACATGAACACAACTTTACTCAGACCTGTCGATGCAATTCCAGCACCCAATGTCACAGCCACAATGTACCTCCGCGCCAACTTCGAAATAGGAGCATGGCGTCTATCGCGGGGCTTCTTCAACGCCTCGACGTGGCACGCCAACGTCACCTCGCCGGCTCTGTATCGCTTCATGGACGCCGCGAAAAGCGACAATGACACGTTGTTGCCGTCTACAACCGGCGTAAACGACATTACCTTCAATCCAGAGAATGAGTTCGTGTACCAGACGCAGGGCATCCAAACGGTCAACATCATCATCAGCAACTTTGACGACGGCGCACACCCGTTCCATATCCATGGGCACAAGTTCTTCGTACTGAAGCAGTCCCCAACGGGCTACCCACCCGAAGACATGGCCGAGTTGGAAGCAGAACTCGCGGCTTCGGGTGTTCTGGAGAACCCGCTCAGAAGGGACACCGTAACAGTCCAAGGCTACGGGTGGGCAGTCGTCAGAGTCGTGCTGGACAATCCGGGCGTGTGGACGTTCCACTGCCACAACGCATGGCACGCAGAGGCGGGCATGGTAATGATGATTGCAGCGAGAGTCGAGACGGCCAAGGAGTGGAAGGTGGCGAGCGAAGAGGAAGTAAGGCTCTGCGGGTTGCCTGGGGTCGAGAAAGGGGTTCGGCCTAGTGATGACATTTGGTTTGGGAACTTTGGTTGAGAGAGTAAATACGAGATTCTGTAAATAGAGGGTTAGTAAGTGCTATTGCTCGGAGAGTAATCATTCCCAAAGAGAGATTGGAAGCTTCGGCGGACAATTGGAACCCGCTCCCCGTGATAATTACACCGCTTCTAACGGTCTAACCCACGGGGAAATTGTCGAGTGCATACGCTCCATTTGTTTCCGTCCCGTAATGAATCAGAAATCAGCTGTTGTGGGATCCATCCATCAGTCAGGTCTCTACTAAGTCCGTCGGCGAAATACTGACGGCTAGAGTACCCTTGTCAACCCGTTTGTTGTCAAGCCCCCCGTGGGCAAGGCGTTGTGGTCCTCGGCATTATCCCTTGCTCATTGGAGTTGTGATCCACCAGAGATTTCCATCGCCTTTCACTTCTCCGCGTATGTACGGAGCTATGTCTTCTGCAAAAGAAAGTTGCTGACATCTACCGGTCGAGTACCGAGACATTGTGTCCAAGAAGGACAAGACAGCTTCAATAGTACCGGCAGTTCCGAAGCTCCTTCCTTTCGTAGATATACGATGGCTTCATGTCTCTGGGGCATCGACTCATGACGGAGAGTGCGCTGGCTGCACTTCGCACCAGAAAAGGAGTTGCTTGCTTGGAAGTTGAATTGGGCCCGACGATCTAGACCGCTGAGAGTCTAGAGGTTCTCAGCAGGCTAGTCTGCATGTAGTTGCTTGAACAGGGGGCACATTGAATATTGCAAGAGATTAGGAAATAGGCAAACGGGTCCCGTACTAACTCGATCGGATACCGGATTCCGCAGTACCCATCATCCGGTCTCCCATGAGTGCACGTGTGCTGTATCATCCGTGTGGTCCCATAATCCCATTTGCCATCATGCCCATTTCTCGCCGGGCTCCGCAATGAGAGGCGAAGTTCTGGGCCCCTTAATTCTTCTTTCTGCACTCCTGCGATGAATGGGTTGTAGTGTTGTTGGAACTTCCACGTTGGAACCTTTTCTGCCAATCTGTGATCGTCACTTTTCGGTCCGTTGTGAAATTCTCAAAGTTAAAAAAGGAGAGGTGTAGTACGAAATTGACAGAGATTTCCAGTTTTCTGATGTAAAAAGGCCCGTTGAAACAAGAGACAACTGATGCGTCGCATTGAGTCGGAAATAAAGAGCATTTGGGCGCTCGCGCCCCAGTTTATCGCACTCTGTTCGTATGTTGGTCCTATCTTTCTTCACCCACCTGCATACATGTCAGTGCCGAGTTCCATATTATTTTTGGGGTAAACGATTCCAGCTAGATAGGACGCGCGCCCCATCAACTCATCATTAGGATGGAGCCGCTGAAGCATCTAGATGGACGTTGTCTTGCCTCTAGAGACTTGTGCCGCTTGCCGGCTATTCAAGAGTCATGTCGATGTCATGTTTGCTATTGAATGATGATATGCGGCTGAGACTTGAGGGTGCCATGTAGAAAGAGAGCCGGCAAGTCGGACGGAAAAACCAAACATGATGCGACGTTGAAATTGAAGATTCAGAGTTTTGACTGGTGCAAATTCAAGGACTGTCAACTCCCTAGCTGCCGTTCAGATGACTTGTGTTTCATCCGCCATCCAACATGGTCAACACGAAGAAAGGCGCAAACTCTAATTCCCTTTCAGGATCGTGAGAGGGGGGAAGGAGAAAATCTGCCAAGTCAAAGTGAGTTAAACACCTGCATCAGTTACGTTGCGCCGTCAAGCGAAAAGGCACGAGCAGCCGAAGGTGTTGGATGCTAAACATTTCATGGTCAAGACTCAAATTAGCTCGTCGACGGGGACCCGGTTCTGGCAATATTCTGCACATTCTGCACGCGTGACGGGCCAGCGCTAACATGACTAGGCCATCTTGAGGAAGTTTGGAGGGCAGCAAAACAGTTGAGGATGGGCCCGAAACTCTGAACTTTCCCGCCAATCATGGGCAGAATAGGCAGAAATGTTCCAGGGCAGCACCAATTCTCGTGGCTTTTTGGTAGACGCTCCCCGAAAGTCAATTCTATTGCAACCGACTGCCGTACCGTGATGTGATCAACCCCCCACCCCACTCCCATAAGTCCCTTCAGCTATACGTGTTCGGGAGGCCATGACCATCACATTACCAACGATTCAACCAAGCTAACCCTGAGGGCACGCAATATCAGTCGAACTCTGTTCAATTTAAAGCTCACATTGTCTGACCATAAACTTTCCACCAACCAGCCGCCCCGGTACTGGCATCCCTGGGGAACAATTGGTCCGTTACGCGTCCAGTGCTCCTAGGCAATCCCCCTTTCGCGGCTCCCGTCCCCTCCTCCTTTTGTATGATGCCCCCCCAAATGCTGGGAGGTTCGATGTTTACCACAATGGGACGAAAAGCCCCAGTTGAAAGTTGCGGCTGGAAGAACGGCACGGAACTCGGCAACTTGAGATCCAGGATTGATACAACCACCTATTGAATAGAGTGCCTAGATTCGATCGGTGCAAGGGCCGGACGACCCTGCTTCAACAAGCCTTAGCCTTGGCGGCGTACGAAAGTAGTCCACAGACGCGGAGCTCATGGTGGCAGTGGTGCTCGTCTATGTCAATCGCGGAGATGGCACTGTTGGGCGGAATCTAGTGCGATTCCAGAAATTCAGGAGTTATCGGTGGGGTTTGCCTGCCTGCATGGGACTATGACGAGCAAGGGCCATCCCCGGCACTCGCGTTGCTTCTGGCCTGGGGCCCGGTCGAGCTCCATCTTCCATCTAACTGACTCGGCCAGTGTTTCCCTGTTCCCATGATGCGTCCAGACGACTGACTGTGCAGTCGGTACGTGGAACAAGGTATCCGTACTGGACAGGAAGAGAGCAGAGGAGGATGGTAAACAGGAGCAGTTCGTTGACAGGCCTTGGCAAGGCTGTGCCAAGAGATCCCGTCGATTTGGATATAAACCATCCTGCAGTTCCTCCCCAGATTGCCAAGAAGCTTCCAAGACATCACTCCCGCAGATCTCATCCAGTTTACCATTCTAGAGTCTTGGCTCATTCATTCTTTCGTCTTATTTTTTAACAAGCATTCTGATACTGTGTATCAAGTCACTCACTCTCTACTACCAAAACAAATTCCTTCCAACAAAATGGTTTCTTCACTTCTCGCCCTCGGCGCCTTGGCCGCCACTGCTATCGCTGCTCCCCTCGATGCTCGCGCCAGCTGCACCTTCACCGATGCCGCTGCCGCCATCAAGGGCAAGGCTAGCTGCACCAGCATCATCCTCAACGGCATCGTCGTCCCTGCCGGTACCACCCTCGACATGACCGGTCTTAAGTCCGGCACCACTGTAAGTTTGAATATTCTGGCTACTGAATAACACCTAAGCTGACACCGTAAAAGGTCACCTTCCAGGGCAAGACCACCTTCGGCTACAAGGAGTGGGAGGGACCCCTCATCTCCTTCTCCGGTACCAACATCAACATCAACGGTGCCTCTGGCCACTCCATCGACTGCCAGGGCTCCCGCTGGTGGGACTCCAAGGGAAGCAACGGCGGCAAGACCAAGCCCAAGTTCTTCTACGCCCACAGCCTCAAGAGCTCCAACATCAAGGGTCTCAACGTCCTGAACACCCCCGTCCAGGCCTTCTCCATCAACAGCGCCACCACCCTCGGCGTCTACGATGTCACCATTGACAACTCCGCTGGTGACTCCGCCGGCGGCCACAACACCGACGCCTTCGACGTCGGCTCCTCCACCGGTGTCTACATTTCCGGCGCCAACGTCAAGAACCAGGACGACTGCCTCGCCATCAACTCCGGCACCAACATCACCTTCACCGGCGGTACCTGCTCCGGTGGCCACGGTCTGTCCATTGGCTCCGTCGGCGGCCGCTCCGACAACACCGTCAAGACCGTCACCATCTCCAACTCTAAGATCGTCAACTCCGACAACGGTGTCCGCATCAAGACTGTCTCCGGCGCCACTGGTTCCGTCTCCGGCGTCACCTACTCCGGCATCACCCTCTCCAACATTGCTAAGTACGGTATCGTCATCGAGCAGGACTACGAGAACGGCTCCCCCACCGGCACCCCCACCAACGGCGTCCCCATCACCGGCCTCACCCTCTCCAAGATCACCGGCTCCGTCGCCTCCTCCGGCACCAACGTCTACATCCTCTGCGCTTCCGGTGCCTGCAGCAACTGGAAGTGGAGCGGCGTCAGCGTCACCGGTGGCAAGAAGTCCACCAAGTGCTCCAACATCCCCAGCGGCAGCGGTGCTGCTTGCTAAGCGTCTCGCACTTGCGAGTTTTCTCGGCCGCTCTCTTTCGAGTCGGTGATACCCACCCGGGGGTGCTAGTCTCTTTTCCTTGGTGGGAACGCTGACGCGGATTGTTTTGTGCTGGACTTTCTTGTAATGAGTTGAGCCGTGTCTGCAAAGTAGTCAGCCGGGCGCAAATTTGTTCCTGTATATAATTTCCTTTGTCGTTCTCAAGATGTCTTGAGGCGAGATACATACGAATCCAATCACATACTGGATGAACTTCATTGTTACCTTTCTTCGTGACTCCAAAATCTTCGAGGTCGCAATTGACCCATGTTCTGCTTTAAGCCTTTGTGCCAAGAAACCAAGAGATAAACGACTGCTCATTTCCACACGAGTTACAAGGATCCCTACATGGCATACCCCTGGACTGTAAAGTGGCCCGGACCCCCGATCCTCATTTCCAGCAGAACCACAAAAGGGCCTGGCCACACGACTTTTTTAATCAACACAAAATCAACCCGAAAACAAAAAAACTGCCCACATGGTCAAAAAAAGCAAAAGAAAGACTCCTCGACGGCGAATTATATCGTGGGATTTCCCCGGTGACAAGCAGATATTCTCACCACTAGACTATCGGGGATTGGTGGATGTTGACACCCAGTGATAGTTGGTTGACGGAACCGCCCTCAGTGCCTATATCAAAGCTTCAGCCGAACCGTCCCCGCCAACAATCCCCCTTGAAGCTGGATTTTTCTCATTGTTTCATGGCAAACAGTGAGGCAAACAACTTCGGTCGATTGATTATGTGCTGAAGTGCAAAACTCACAGGTTTTTGACCAAGTATGTAGACAGGACGTTGTTGCTTTATGCTGATGCAACGCGCAACATCAACACCGATGGCATATCCGAAAGTCATAGCAATAAATCTGTCCTTGGGAACAAAGAAGAATGATTGGCACATGGCACTCCTAGTCACCCTCGGCAGTCTTCATTGATTGAACTGGGTTTTGGATTTGAGCCACGCTTGAGACTGAAATTTAATGCACGGGTGGTGCCCTGTGAGCTTTCGTCAAATGACATGTTCCCAGTTGAGTTGATGCATCTGACGTGGATGATGGATCGAGCCTAACATCAAGCTCGTCGATCGTGTTCAAAGGTATATACTCTCTCACTTGTCTCAGTATGTACACGAATTTAAATGAATGGACGAGCTCAGTCCTTGCTACTGTCAACAGCGATCGGAAGGTGCTTAGCAGGTGAACACAGCCGGGCCGGGAATAGTGTAAGTTTGAGCTTCAGAGAAAGTCAAAGGTCAGCAATTGTCAAGAGTCAAGAATCCAAGAGACATTGTACAGCATACCCTTGTAGGCATCGTAGGTGATACCAGGATCAGTGGACTTGTACGCGCCGGGGATGGCAACCAGCGAAGTCGCAGTCTTGGTGCCGGAACCAGTGACCTGGAGTTGATGGCATCCGGGGTAGAATTGTGCGCCAGGGTACGAGTAGGCGGCGTGCAGAGCAATGATCTCGTGGCGAACGAGGTAGTAGCCCGACTTCAAGCAGGACGGGATTGTGTACTGGTAGCCGGAGTTGGCAACCATGAGGGGGGTCTAACAGATGTTAGTGCCAACTAATCGACTTTGACATCGCAGGTCCAACATACATCGGCCCAAGTGTTGGTGGTTCCGGTGCGTCCACCCTCCTTGACCTTGAACCACACAGCACTGTCTCAGAGGTTAGACACGGTACCTAGACACATTTACGTATTACTCTTTACTTACGAAGTGCCAGGCTGCCATGCCTGACAACCGGAATCGGGGCATCGTGCCATGTAGGTGATCACAGGACCGACGTGAGAATCGGGCCAGAGAGTCCATCGCAGGGTGACGGTCGATCCCGCTGCAGCAGTAGCGTGCAGGGCCGCGGGCGTCGAGCCCGAGATGCCGCCGGCTGTGTATCCTCCGCACTGGACATCGATCAAGTCGACGCTCTCGACTGGGCCGTTGCCTTGGACCGGGCGAGAGATTCTCTGGGGCTATTTGAAACTTGTGTGAGTTGTGATATCCTCGCATGGGGGATGAAGCTAGAGCTTAGACTTACAGTAGGGCTCGTGTATGGGTCTTGGTAAGGCTAGGTACGTGTCTGTTGTTAGATTTACAATAGAACATTTGTGGCTTTGATAGTCTAATGTACCTGGTAGAACTGTTGAAAATGAGTTAGCAACCATTATCCATAGCATGAAGATATGTCATGACAAACCTGGTAGTAGGTGCCACCAATGGTAGCATTGTCGACGTATCCGTGACCAGCGACCAGAGCCGCAAGGCCTAGGAAGCAAGCAGCGATCTGCATGTTTCGAATATTTCGAACGAACGTCTGATGGACAAAAGCAAAAGATCGACGGCTGCGACAAAGAGCAAGTTGCGTAACGACTGACACTGCCTGCCTGGAGCTGAGCACTTTAAATCCAGAAACTTGCTCTTACACGGGAACCACCGCGCTATATATCATCAACACACCGACTCAAGAACAGTTCATCCTTTCTTCTCCTTTTCGTCTCCAATGGGGACCACTCCTCTCAATCCAAGACACCAAGCCAGCGTAGTCAGCCAGCAAACTCCTTGGCACAACGACGTTGCCTCCTCATCCCACCCCCCTAGAATCTCATCACGGGAACTAAGAGGGCAGCGCAAAAAGGAAACAACGGAACCACACGAGCGAGTGCCACGGCTCGACTTTATTAACTCTGGCAAGGGGCATTGCCAATGAAAATGGGGAAAACCCGCATCCCACTTTGGAGGCGGGGTTTCCACCAATTAATCAGCCGAGCCATCGTCGCAAGTCAAAACGCCAATGCCACCCGTGTTTTAATTAAAAGAGAACAACAAAGACGAATAAGCAAGGTTAGATCTTGCTACTACTGTGTCGACAGAGCGCAACAAACTTTTGCACGGCTTCCGTGATGCCGTGTGCCGTGGGTTTGGATTGCGGGGGGATCTGCGGTGTCACTATGCCGGTTCATGATGCTTGTAAATCTGCAGGCAATGCCGAGGAAACATTTTCGTTTCGAGAAAATCTCTCAAATAGCTAAAGATCAAATAATCCAGCCTGAAGATGAGTCTTTTGAAGTTGAGGAGATTCGTACGCGTTGATAAAGTCCTTGAAATTTAGGGGCCCAATTGAGAGGGAGAATGCAATAAAGAAATTGGAACGAGCAGATACTAACTAATACGATACATATCGGATTAGAAGTCTAATTCGACCGCGGTATATAGCCGACTACGTAGGGGCTAATTAGGGGCCCTATTTATAATTATCGTAGCTAGCCTAACTTATAATTAGAACCTCCTTTTTATACTTACTACGTAAATATTTATATAGTTTAATTAATCTCTTTATTAATTATAGTTCGAACTAACTATTTTATAATAAGGATATTAATATTAATTAGTAATTAAATTTTATTATTATAAATTAATAAGGTATTTTACTATATAAAAAAGATAACTTCTTAATACTATATAAAATAAGAGATTCGTATTAATTAACTTTATAAAAATAAATAAAAAAGGAAGCGATTTTTAAATATTATATAGAATTAAATAATTATAACTTTTTATTACTTATGAGAGGTTAACGTTTATTATATTAAACTACGTTAATTAATAAAACTACTTAAGTAACTAGTTTTTTATTATTATTTTAAATAGCTTTTTTATTAAATAACTTTTTTATAGCCGGCCCGTAATTAAAAATTAATTAGTTAAATTAGTAAAAAAAAATACTTACGTAGTAATTACTTACTTAATTAATTAGTATAATAAGCGAGCTCGATAATATAATATAAAAAAGTACTACGTAATTAAAAAAGGGATTTTTAAATATAAATATTTTTAGTTAGTATAATAAGAACCTATATAGGAGTTATTAAGTTAAGAGATTTATAATATATAAAAAAGTTTATTATTATAAGGATTTTATAAATACGATTTTAAGTTTATAATTTAAATAACCTCTTTATAACTCCCTTAACTACTCTTTAAGTATTATTTAAGAATATAATATAGGGGACGGTTTAATAAGAGAAGAGGGGATTTAGAGGTCCTAATAGTATTAAGTTAAAAGTATTACGGATTTTAAAAATTAACTTAAAAAAAGGTAATTATTTTAAAATAGTTCTATAACCTCTTATTAGAGTTATTATTAACTTAAAAAAAGGTTAAAAAAATAAGGATTTAAAAAGAAAAAAAAAAGAATCCTCTAAAGGGCTATTAAAGGGCTTCTTTTTATATTAGCTCTTAATATAAAATTACTAATTTTAAGAAATTAACTAAGTAATAAAAAGGATTATTAATAAGTAATAATTACTTAATTATAATTAAGTTATAAAAAAAACTATTTAAAAAATATAAAATAAGGTACTAAGAGGCTATAAAAAATAAGATTTTTAAAATATCTAACCTTATTATGTATAAGTAATAAATAAGTATTTTTAATAAGTTTTTAAAGTTTATAATTTTATAAAAAAGAGGGCTTAATTTCGTTAACTATATTTAATAATTTATATAGTTTTTAATAGTTTATATAGCTCTTTTACGAGCCGCCCGGCGTTTATTTTTAACTATTTTTATAAAATATTATTTTAAAAAAAATAAGTTAAAAAAGGAGGCTATTTAGAAATTATAAAGAGTACGAGGCTTAGGAAGTTAGAAATATATAAAATAGTAAAGATTAGTAATTAATAAAAATCTTAAGATTAATTATCATATTTTTTTATAATAATATAAACGTTTACTACTATTATTAAAAAAAGGAACTACTAAAACTTATTTTTTTATATTAAATAAAAAAAAAGATCTTAGTAAGTACGATAATTAGTAATTTAAAAAGGTAGTAATAATTATTAAAAATAATAAAAATAAGAGTAGTAATAAAATAGTAAAAAAAAGCGGAAATTTCCTAAACTTTAATAAATTCGTTAAGTAATAAAAGTACGGATTTATTATAATTAATACGCGGATTAA